GTGTGTGTGTGTGTGTGTGTGTGTGTGTGTGTGTGTGTGTGTGTGTGAGAGAGTGTGTTACATCATGCGTCTGTTTGCCTCCGACAGGAAGAGACACCAACGTATTGGTGTACATAAAGAGAAGACTGGCCATGTGCTCCAGAAAGCTCGGCCGAACACGAGAAGCTGTTAAAATGATGAGAGATGTAAGTGTTCACACACACACACACACACACACACACACACACACACACACTCCAGATTACACGGCTTTTAGCTAGGCAAGTGTTGCTGTAACTGCATAACTGATGATGCCTGAAGCTCTTGTCTGCTGACTGTGTGCATGTGTCGCCCCCTGCTCGGTATTACATGTAACAACAGTTGTGTGTTTTCCAGTTAATGAAGGAGTTCCCTCTCCTCAGTATGTTCAACATCCACGAGAACCTGCTGGAGTCACTACTGGAGCTCCAGAACTACGCCGACGTCCAGGCCGTTCTGGCCAAGTACGACGGTGAGGGGCTCGAACGCACGAGGCTTTTCACTTATGTTCACACGGAAATAAATACAAAGTTATATATACAGACGGCAAAGACTGAGCAGTATCTCTAACCTAAGTCCTGACAAAGTATAAACCCTTACTTTAAGTTAATCTGTCAGGAAAAAACTGCTCCAAAAATCCATTAAAGTGTCAAAAAATATCTTGAACTCAGAGATCCTGTGAATACTGCATTTAATAAACAACACTTTACAAGTACTACGCTTACATGCACAAATACTTTGTTTTGTGCCCTTATTTCATAAAAGACAATATTCCTCCTTAGCTGTTTGTGTGGCTGAAGAAAGTGAATATTCCACTAATATTCACGTTTGCATGCAGCCGTGCTCACTGCGATAACAACATGGAAAAGTGTGACGGCTGTTTAAGCTCAGCCTCTCTCTTTCATCACTTCAACCACCTTCTTGAAGAGGTCGGTGTCGAGATCTTTGTGAATATCTAAGAGCCTGTAGATATCCGAGTCCTTCACAATGTTTAAAGCATCCGTGTTCCTCCTCCTGAACACAGACGAGGGCTTTTCTTTGGGCATGCTTCTCTACAAGCTGTCGGTAGTTATTTATTGTGTTCAACAACAACAAACCTTGTGAATGCTCCGTCTACATGTCCAAAGAACGCTCCGAAAAGCTGAATATTATCAGCATATCTCCACGATTCAACTGTAAAACCATCCTGAGAAAGGACTTGATCAAGAAACCTAAAGTCTTCTTCTTCACTCTGGAGCTCCAGGTCACAGCTGTGGTTGTCTGCTCACTGAACTCTCCGTCTGTCTGCTTTGTGTCCACAGATATTAGTTTACCCAAATCTGCAACAATATGCTACACAGCAGCCTTGCTCAAAGCCAGGGCGGTGTCGGACAAGTGAGTATCGCTTTCCACCGTCGACAACGCTCGACGTACATTTTCCTTTAACCCCTGTAGATGCATACACAGAAGAAAATATACATTTAGTGCTTATTGCTTTATCTTTTTGTCCATTTGTGTTGATTTATATTGATTTTAGTGTCAACATGTGTCGTATTACCGTTAAATCTGTTATCTGACACCCTGAGACCAAAGAAAGCATCTGTTAGTGATGTAGTGGAGTCGTCTCCTGCTTCATGCATGTTGATCTAAATGCACTCAAAACACTCAGCTTCAGTTATCAGTCACTTATTTTAGGATTCATGAGTCGCTCTCACAGAGCAGCTGGTGACGAGTGAGTTTCAACGTCTTCATTCGGCACCGCGGGACTTATTTTATAAAGCACTTTGATCATATAGTGACGTGTAGTCCCAAGTGAGATTACTGACAGGTGTGTGTGTGTGTGTGTGTGTGTGTGTGTGTGTGTGTGTGTGTGTGTGTGTGTGTGTGTGTGTGTGTGTGTGTGTGTGTGTGT